GAGAGTGAGTGAGTGAGTTAGAGAGTGAGGGAGTGAGTGAGTGAGTGGGGGAGGGAGGGAGTAAGGGTAAGTGAGGGAGTGGGTGAGTGAGTGAGTGGGTGAGTGAGGGAGTGAGTGAGGGAGTGAGGGGGTGAGTGAGTGAGTGGGGGAATGAATAAGGGATTGAGTGAGTGAGGGAGGGAGGTAGTGAGGCAGTGGGTGAGTGAGGGAGTGAGTGAGGGAGTGAGGAGTGAGGGGTGAGTGAGGGAGTGGGTGAGTGGGTGAATGAGTGAGTGAGTGAGTGAGTTAGAGAGTGAGGGAGTGAGTGAGTGAGTGGGTGAGTGAGTGAGTGAGTTAGAGAGTGAGGGAGTGAGTGAGTGAGTGGGTGAGTGAGTGAGTGAGTTAGAGAGTGAGGGAGTGAGTGAGTGAGTGGGTGAGTGAGTGAGTGAGTTAGAGAGTGAGGGAGTGAGTGAGTGAGTGGGGGAGGGAGGGAGTAAGGGGTAAGTGAGGGAGTGGGTGAGTGAGTGAGTGGGTGAGTGAGTGAGTGAGTTAGAGAGTGAGGGAGTGAGTGAGTGAGTGGGTGAGTGAGTGAGTGAGTGAGTGAGTGAGGGAATGAGTGAGTGCATGGTTGAATGATCGATTGATTAATTGGTTTGATTGATTGATTGATCGATTGAGAAAGAGAGAGAGAGGGAGAGAAGGGTAGGACATAGAGAGAAAAGTTGAAAAAGACAGAGATAACCTAAACAATATGTTTTTAAAACATAAGCAGATTATGAAGCTGTTATATTTATATTTATGATAAATTATGCAGTTATGCTTGCTTGAAAAGAAATGGGTATTCATGAAATTAGTCAAAAGATGGTCAGTTAAAATTGTTAGAAAAGGAGTAATCTTTATAATAATAATAATGATAACAATTATTTTTTAACAAGAAAAGTACTTTGAGTTTTTAGATGAATATCTGTCTACAACCTGGATGAAAAGGCAAAATCTGAAGTTGAAATCTGCATGGTGTATCATCATTTTGTTGCCATAACAGCATACATATGTGAGTGATGAATTGATGGAATGGTCACTGTGAGATGGGATCTCCCACCAATCTTCTCAAACACTTAAAGTGCAATTGTTTTGAAGTGGATCTGAACAGAGATGGATAAAGAAATGCTAGATAGGGATTGAAAGTGATTCATTTTAATCTAATAAATGACCAGCTGACCATCAAAAGAAAGTGGATTGATATAAATATATAGGGTTGCGTTTTCTGAGAATGGACATCTTTGTAGGTCGGCAATAAATTCAATTCTGGTTGAATAGTGCCGCTTTCTCAAGAGACAAGTTCACTGCTGTTTTCCCATCAAAAGGATACTATGTTATGAAGCTGTTTGCATGGGGTTTGTACGCCATGACCACCATGCATGTATATGTGTATATTCTTGACTTGGCTGAGTGCGTTCTGAGTATGTTAGTATATATAAAAAGGGTTGTGCACTGCATTCGTTGAAGGATGGGCATACATTTTGGGCAAGGTGGAAGGGGCCTAATATCCTGACCATCAACTCGAAAAATAAGTTACCTCTGTCATTGAATCACTCTCTGCAGACGAAAGAAATCCTACAAACTGAGCTCTTTACTTCAACTTGCCCCAGATACTATATTTCCAATGGATACTGTGATTGAAGTAAGCACCTATTGTTGAGATATTTGTCACCATGTTACTCTGATGAGATGTAATTCTCTAGAGCCTTTCATACTTATTGCGATGAGGCAACTACAGTTACATAGTACCTGCACATTAAGAATGGATGGAGATGTGAATGGAGAGAGATAGAATGACATACAGAGTGGTGTTTTCTGTCATAAGTGAAGCTTTAAACAGCTCCATTAATGAAACCATTGCTTCCATGGAGGAAACATTTTTCTCTAAATCAAACTTTTTATGACACTCTTGTGAAGATCATTTATAACATTCTCGGTATTTGCAAATGAAATTAATCTTTTTCATGCGATATGGCTGTTATAGACAACTCAGATTTTCATTTTGTATTCAATAATTCTGAAACAAAGAAAATATTTTGTGCTTCTCCAAAGTTAGGTTCACACGGCAATTAGCTTTAAGTTTTGGTCGTGGTTTTAAACTACAAAGTTTTGGACATGGTTTTAAATTTTGAAGGTATCTTGCAGTTATGGACTATATGCAGATGCACAAGCAATCTTAAGGTTAGTACAATAGCTTCGTGCAGTGGGGGTGCAGGTACTCACTCAAAGTTATTTATGCCGTGCAAACGCAATTGACTTTAAGGTATTCCCCATTTACACCAGCTTGAGGTTCAACGAATGCTTTTCTGACTTTAAAGCTTTGAATACTTATTTTTGGTCCTAGCTGTTTGAACCCTTGTTGCTGTTAGTGGATTGTTGTTTATAACTTGGAGATTTTGCAAACTTTAAGTTTATAACTATATGACGGTCCTATATGAACATAGGTTAGATGGGACTTATAAAGTCTATACAGTTGTACCTGAAACCCACTCTAAACTAACTCTTTATACTGATCCAACTAATTCTTGGCCATTTGAAGAAAAAAATGTTCGCTCTATTGCATGGCTGGTGTCAATCTCATGGATATTTTATGCAGGGGTACATGTATTACATATCATGCCAGCATATTGTCTTGGGCGAGAAAACAGAGCATTTTAACCTTATTCAATATCGGAGTATCTATGATGTGACCTGATTTAAGTCCTCTCAATATCATCCACTTGCCCTGTTTTAAACTCATCATTTTTGTTTCATGGCATATTACATGTATATGTTCACAAGAGATCATCGTGCTATTCTTTTCCACATATTTTCATGTCATGAAGTTTTATATAAATCAAAATAAGAATTGCAGAGTTTGGTAAGTCTTCCTTTGCAGTAGAAGTTTGCACAAAGTTGTTGGTTAAAGGTATTACAAAGTTTTGGAATGGGGTCATGGATTTGGTTCAAATTAACATATTGGAAGCATATGCGTTCCTACAATAGTTATTGATCGTTGTCGCGGTTGAAATCGAGTCTAAAGTTATGAAATTATGAATAATAAACTCTTTATGTTGTATAGCTCCCTCTCAAGGTCATGATATTAATTTAGCTATGAAACAATGTTTCTTGACTAAAATCGACCGATTAGCTATTCCCGTTTAGAAATTATACATCACAACTTCAATATTCTGAGATTTTCATGGTCGCAGCTACCATTGAACGGCCATGGGTGCTATTTGAAATTTATCAAAATTTACCGGGAGCACCGGTAAATTTTTATATTCAATTTTGCTCGAAAACAGAAGTGCTTTAGAGGCTAATTTTTTAAGTGCTTATAATATATGCACAGGAGCATCAAAATATATCAAAATTGTAAAGATTCACTATCCACCCAATTTTCAAAATTTCCCAAAACCTTTACCTTTAAATTATAAACGTTCTTTCTCAATTTCATTGCCCCAAATACTTGGCATCTATCTTAAAGCATTAATTGACTACGGATTTCTCTCAATCCCTTAGACCGTATAAAGGATGCACCCAGTTCCTGTAGGCAATAATTTAAAGAGCAGAAATCTTTGACAAATGAATCTCGCAAATAGTTTTTGAGGGCTTACCAAAACTACACTGACCTGATTTAAAGATTAATTGCTGCATGTAGCGTGATAAATACACTATCCAAAGATACCCCCAAACACACAGATGACTCATGTTGAATGTCAGACCTCTAGAGAAATCTAATTGTACATGAGCTCATAAAAAATGATGACAGTATCAACTTGATGTTTCATATATCATGCCAGAAATCAAACGATTGGCATCGATTCCACCTCATCATCGTTCTGCATGCACGGGAGCGCCGCTGGAGGGCACGCGACTTTATTTTTAAACTTTCTTCACACTTGATCATGTAATAAAGGAGCGTTGTCGAGATATAGATCAAGTGTACATGACATTTAGGTTATGAGGCATGACAAGAAAGCTTGTCATATATTGTCAAGAGAAGGTAGGGTGGGTTTGAAAAGACACTTCATCATCCTTTTTGTAGAGAAATGACTGAATGGCCTAGAAAAGAGTCTGGTTTTTAGGCAAGGCCTTAAGTATTCTTACATGAAACCATCAGTAAATGAATAGTATTGATATCTATCTCTTTGATTGTAAATCATACAAAGGAAAAATGAAAAAATAGTGAAGATGCAAATTTGAGTGGGTTCATAAAATAGGAATGCTGTGAATCTGAATTGATTATTCTTCTGCAAGAATTTTTGTTTTGTGTGTGGATAATTACCTCCATGTCAAGAGCTTTTTTAATACTACTGGCCTTAATCCACAGCCTGCTTTATCCAGAATTGCTTTCAAAACTAGATTTACCATGGATCAAAACCCTGGACTGCCTTATTAATTTAAATTCAGGTTGGTGTTAGCTAACCAACGTACATGTAGCTGTCAAGGAGGTGTTCATACAGGCAAGATTCACTATAGAGTCCTTGGTCTGAGGAAGTCGCAGTTCTATGTCTGGTCCGTTGACCACAGTTCAGTCAATTATGCCATGACACGATTCTAGAGTTATGCATAATCTAGCCATCCTTCTAAATCTCTTAGGTTAATTCTCCTCTTTATTCAGGTTGGTGAGTGCAGGTGACCGGTAGACTTCAACATGGAGAGTTGGTATTTATACAGGCAAGGTGCACTCGGGAGAGTCCTGGGGATGTGGCAGTTCGATGTCAGCCCAAAGACATTACGATTAGAGAACAATTCAGATAGGCGCACCATGTCTAATCAGTCTCTTTCTGTGTCCTCTCTGTCTTAGGTTGGTGCGCAAGGTGACCAATGTTGACGTCAACATAAGAGTTGGTATCCATACAGGCAAGGTGCACTGTGGAGTCCTGGGGATGACGAAGTGGCAGTTCGATGTCAGTTCAAAGACATCAATTAATTACAGAACTATTCACATAGGCAAAACCATGTCTAATCAGTCTCTTTCTGTGTCCTCTCTGTCTTAGGTTGGTGCGTGAGGTGACCAATGTTGACGTCAACATGAGAGTTGGTATCCACACAGGGAAGGTGCACTGTGGAGTCCTGGGTATGAGGAAGTGGCAGTTCGATGTCTGGTCCAATGACGTCACGCTGGCTAACATCATGGAGGCAGGGGGTATGCCAGGGTAAGTCAACACAAATCTATGGCTTCCAACTTTAAAGATATAGACCAGTTTGGGAAATGCCCCCCCCCCTCTCAAAAAATGAAATGGAAGCTCTTATTACCAATCACATGAAAGAATACGTTTTGACTAATACTTGATGATACAAATTTTGCCGGGAAAGCGCCTACTAATTGATATATTTGGTAAATTATCATATTGATCCGGTCTGGATAGATATCGTGAATGCACTTCAACATTGAACACTTGGGCATATATTTCTGATTTTTTGTTGTTGCAAATTTAGGTTAAAGGATTTCCATCTAAACCTCTAAATATTGAATGGATATTTTGCACCCAAAACCCTTAAACCGCAATTTTACCACTACCGGTCTATATCTTTAACAGTGAGAGTAGAGGTGTCATGTTCTAGTGGATAAGTCACAGGACTGTGGATCACATGGTTCGCAGTTCAAGTCCAGCCGCAGTCCTTTGGCAAGATATTAATCTACATTTGCCACCCTCCACCCAGGTGAAGTAAATGTGTACATGGTAGGAATTTATTCCTTGATTCCTTGAATGCCTGAAGAACTTAAGGGTAGCTGGGCTAACGCCATGGTAATAATACCACTCTGTAGGCTACTTGAGCATCCCCTGGGATGGATGCAAGCACATTATAAATGTAGCTATTGTTGTTATCATCATTACAGGCCTGATAATTACCCAATTTAAATTGGTCCTCGATTTTTAAATTTTTTTTCTTCCTGATTTCTTTTTTTTCTCCCAATTTTACCCCTATTTTCCCTAATTTGTTCTTGATTTTCTTATTCAAAAGGGGGGAATGTTGGTAGATTCCATTTTTTCCCCTGAAACCTTTTTTTTAGTGCTCACTATCACCCCTGTAATTACCGACATTATTATCGATCATAAGTAACGTGACATATTTGTAGTGCAACTACATTTCATAGTGCAAGGGTGCTGTTGTTCTTGCAACTACAAGAAAAAGCAATTGCCCTTGTACCTTATACAGAGCTTGGACAACTAACAGCGTCAAAGTTATATTGCACATGATATGTAAATTGAACTAACAGCTTTTAAAAAAGATTTAGAGATGAATAAAAATGTTAGGGTTTAAAACATAAAAAGGGGGTCATTCTGTTTTGAACAATTTTCATCAAGTAACCATTTGAAGTTTGTTGACATCGTCATATACATTGTACTAATACATATGAACTTCAAAACTCCATTTAGATATCCATTTCAACCTTTTACACTTTCTTTTTTCTATGTTTAAGTTAAGTAGGTACCGGTATGCTGCCATTGAAACTGTTGCCAGAGGTTATATCTTGTTTGGAATAAATACCAAGTTTCTATTTTGCTGTACCGTGAATGTTTAGACATACATTAGAGAGCTTCAAAGAAAAACAAAATCTGTTTTAACCCCCAACCCACCCTGAATGTATAGTCCCATATATGACATCCCATGTTGTCTAAAAGCCCTGTTCCTTGTATCTCTTTCATTAATTTCGCCGATTTGGGATGACCGAAATTCAGGAGAAAGGCGCTGTTTTCAGATTGAATGAAAATAGCTGGGAGTAATTCCTAGTTTGGCACTGAGCTAAGCATAATAATGCTTGATATGAATTCACCTTCAAGATCGCGTGTTGCTCTTTGTATTAAAACAATATATATAATGCACCATATCACTGGGGTAGCTTAAGGAAATGTAATGTCTCAAAGACACATCCAGTACACAAAATGCGTAGTTATAGAATTATCATAATGTTATTGCATAAATACAGAACTGTGTCATCAGGCCATGGAGATAGTAAAATCCTTTTTACGAACTTGATTACCGGTTATCTAAATGATTTTAAAATTAATTTGAGAATGCCTAATAATTTCTTTTTATTTATTGATATCACTAGTACTTATGCATATTTACATTACGGAAATGTCTTTTCAAGCCACTATACTATATTTCCCTTTATGAGCTACATGTACCTTAAATGTAGCATTGCATAGGTATAAGAGCATTGCATAGGGCCATGATAAAAAACATTTAAAGCTTGTCTGTACTAGTTTGGCCAGGGGGGATTAGACCTCACTGACAGGTGGTTATCTCATCAATCAGCTCTCAATTAACATAAGAAAAAGGGGATCATGGGGGTACCAACAGGCACCAATTAAACATTGTTGCTATATAGAGGGCGCAAGTAGCTATAAGTAGTGCAGTGGGCCTTTACAGGGTAAATGTTATTGTTGCATATGTAGAGTTGTCTGAAACCATTATTTTTCTGGTGCTTCAAATTTTCATGAGTTTCATGAGTGGTTGAAATCAATTTAAACGAGTTCTCGCCATGCAAACTGAATCACTTCTTTACAAGTCGCAAAAGCTTCATATTGCAAAGATTTTTGTTTTTTGAGTACCATCTACTTGAGATCGCTACTAGTTGCTTTACATTCTCATTTACTACTGAATAACACCCCAGAAGGTCACATAAAACATCTTTTTTCACTCAATAATGGAATGTTATGGAAGAAAGGAACATGACCATAGTCTACCATATCGCTAGGTGTACCACATAAACCAAAAAAAGATATCTGATTGGGTCGAAACAACATGTTTTGAAATATTTTTTGTAAGGATAGGTGCATTCAGAAGAACTGCAATGTGTGGTGTTCTTTTAGAGTGGAAACCTGATATGTTTTTTCCTCCTTCCAACTTTCCACCCCCTCATTTCCATTTAGACATGGCAAAACCAAACATTTTCCAAGGTGAAAAATAAGACCTATACACACAGTCAATTGAAGAGTTTTATCTCAATGTCACTATTTAACATGATGCTCCATTATGTGGATAAAGATCACTTTCTATTCTCTTTATTTGCGGGGGAGGGAAGGGGAAGGGGGGGGGGATTAATTATGGATATGCTGTAATAGTGCATTAGCTATGACACTAGGAATACTTTGTTGAAATGCTGCAATGATTTTGAGTTTGAATGAGTTTGAATGTTAAGTCAAGGCACTTTTAATTGTTTATAAATTATTTAAAAAACTACTAGATTTCTTACAAAAGAGCCATATTCATTGCTATACTCTTGTCCTGACTTTCAAGATGTTTCATTTTAACCATATGGTTTCCTTTTCAATCTCCAGAAGCAATTTAAAGAAGAAGAAAAAAGGAATTATAGTGATGTAGTATGTATCCCAAACTTGAGGTAACAGTTTATTTGGGGGTCAAAAAATAAATTCATTAAATTAAAAGTATCAAAACAGAAATGTCATTCCAAACTATTATTATTGATGAAAAAAGAAGGCAGTTATGTAAAATGATTGTCTCAGAGTTAATGCCCTTCTGGCTCTCAGCAGACAATATATTCTCATTATTCAGGATATTGATTGTCCCTTCTTGTGTTTAACTCAACACTTGCATTGAAATCCTATTTATAGAAGAGAAGACAGTCTTGCTTCGATCTGTATTAAGCTTAATATCCCTAATGCAACAACTGTTGAATCATAATTAGTCAGCTTTGGTTTGCGTTCCCTCTTATCAAGTCATCAATCAAAGACTATTATTTTGATAAAAGACATTTTTGGAGTACCAGGCTAAAAGGAATTTCACCCATCCCCAAATCAGCCATCGATTGGGTTTGACTAAAAAAAGGCATATTCCCTCATAGAGTTATCACTCCGAGCCTCTCTTGGTCGATCGCACGCCCGCGCCGAGGATTCTCTTATCGCAACCCGCGATCTCGCGTAAACACTTCATTGTCACCTTCGAACAAGAAGGGGGCAACTGTCCACAGCGTGGCGGGTCGTGGGGCACCGGAAACGCAGAGCAACACTTTCAATTTGAGGAGGCACGGTGCATTTCTGCAGTGCTGCTACGCCTCTTCAGATTCAAAAGTCCGCAGGCTGGATCACGCGTGTGTCATTCCTCAGCATATTGTGTCTTTGTCATTTATCTCTCTCTTCCCTCACCTTATGTGTCTGCTTTGTTTGTAATTTTATACACCTATCAATTTCCCTCTCTCTCTCTCTCTCTCTCTCTCTTTATCTCTCTCTCTCTCTTTATCTCTCTCTCCCTCTCTATCCCTCTCTATCTCTCTCTCTCTCTCTCTCTCTCTCTCTCTCTCTCTCTCTCTCTTTCTCCTCTCTCTCTCTCTCTTTCTTTCTGTCCCCTATCTCTTTCTCTCTCATCTTATTTTCCCCCTCTCTCTCTCTTCCACTTCACCTTCACTCGCCGACATTCTCTTGTTCTTATTCTCTCTTATTGTCTTTGAGGCTTTCATTATTCTGTGTTTGTGTCTCTCTGTCTCTCCCCTCTCTCTGTCTCTCCCCTCTCTCTGTCTCTCTCTTTCTCTCTCTCTCTCTCTCTCTCATATTGACAATCCTCTTTCTGTCTCAATCTTGCTCTCACTTGTCCCCTCTTCTCTCTCTCTCTCTCTCTCTCTCTCTCTCCCTCCCTTCCTCCCTCCATCCCTCTCTTCTCTGCTCTCTCTCCTCTCTTCTCTCTCTCTCTGTTTCTCCTGCTCACTCAATCACTTAATGCATGACTGCATGTCCTGGAGACCAGTCTGATTTTTCTGGCCTGGAGGATTCTCTTGACCTCTCTCCCCTCCTCTATCCCTGGTTCTCGATCCAGTGCTTGTCTGTCATTCTCCTTGTTTCTTTCTGTCAGTTACCCTTAACATTCCTCTTGCTTTCACTAGTATGATTGTCACAAAGAACTCTGTTCAACCTTTTCTTGTTCAGTGTCTTTCTCTATCTATCTCTCTCTCTCTCTCTCTCCCTCTCTCTCTCTCTATTTTCCCTTTTTTTTTCTTCTTCTCTCACCTTTTTTTCCTCTTTTTAAAAATATATATTTCTCTCACTTTCTTTTTTGATTTCTCTCGCTCTCCATCTTTGAATTGGTATACCTCCCACATGGCTTGGCACACTTTCCATTTTTGTTTTTTCCTCTAAACACCAAGTCTAGCTTTGTACATCATTCCTTCCATCTCTCATTTCATCTGTCTGTA